AAAAAAAAAAAAAAAAAAAAAGTCACAGCAAAAACTGCAGTTACTTTTGCATCAGCCTAAATATTTCAGACAAAAGTACCAACAATAGGAAAATAAAAACTAATTTCAAATCTAACATTGTAAGGTATTAATTATAATATGCCTTTTATTCTAAAGGTCACATCTTTTAAATCACAGAGAGAATTGTTTACATTTATTCTATGTAGTTATGATATTTATGATATCAGAAGAAAACTATTTTAAGTCTCTAAAATATTTAGTTGGGGAAAGGGTTTAATAAATCAGTGGACTTCTGGAAGAAGGCACAACGTAAGTTTTCTTTCTCGAGTAGCACGAGAATGACTGAAGGAATTTGAAACACGTAGGCTAACGTGATGAGCGAGGAAACACAGTTGTCGTCTTTTCTGATTGTCTGAAATATTGATCTGCTTTTTTCCTTCCTGAATCTGCAGCAAGCGTTTAATGCCACGGCTGTCGTGAGACATATGAGGAAACTCCACCTTGGCAGCAGCTTGGACAGTTCAAATGCAAGTGTTTCGAGCAGCCTCAGTTTGACCAGCCAAAAAGACTGTGCGTATGTAGCAAAACCAGAATTCCTCAGCTGACACTGAAGATGAGCCTGGGGTGGAGAGAGGGGAGCCGGCCTCTGCCGAGCACCTCTTGTTTGCCAGGCACTTTCTGTACTTAATCCCATCTAATGCGACCTTAGGACGTTTCTTTAAACCTAAGCATTGGGCCGGAAGCAGTGGCTCACACCTGTCATCCCAACACTTTGGGAGGCCGAGGCCGGCGGACCATTTGAGTTCAGGAGTTCGAGACCAGCCTGACCAACATGGTGAAACTCCTGTCTCTACTAAAATATAAAAATTAGCCAGGTGTGGTGTTGGGTGCCTGTAATCTCAGCTACTTAGGAGGCTAAGGGAGGAGAATCACTTGAATCCAGGGGGCGGAGGTTGCAGTGAGCCAAGATTGCACTACTACACTCCAGCCTGGGTGACAGAGCGAGACTTCCTTTCAAAAAAAAAAAAGAAAAATCGTTGAACACTCACAGAACCCTAGGAATCACTATTTCCATTTACAGTTGAGAAATCCAGGGCTCGAGGTCCTCGCAGCCATGTCTGTCTGGATAAAGGCCTGGACTCCTTGTCTCCATCCTTCCCTCTGATTTACCTCTCATTGTGCAGTCACTCTTATGGGTTGAGGAAGGGACAGCAGAGCCTCAGGACAGCCTGCTGTCATTGACTTCTATAACATACATTTTGGATGCAGACAGTTTGAGCTCATTTATATGAAGTGCATCGACTTTGCAATTAAAGTAACAGTATCATTGTCCATCTTTGCATGGACTTTCCATCACTGAAGGCTCATTTACACTCCCTTTATTTCTGTCCCCAACTCCTCCACTCTGTAGAAAGAATCTCCTCTTTGGCCCTTCCTGTGGGTCCGCTCCACATCGGACCAGTGGCCCGGGTCTCCCTAGCCATGGAGCAGCCCTGCAGCCTGGTCTCGCCCTGGGCATCATGCTCCTTCCCGTTTGGCTCAGGAAATGATTCCCTTCCTCTCCAAAAAAATCTTCCCATCTCATTTGGGCCATCCAGCCCTTACATTTTCCCAAGAAATTCTGTGAGCATCCCCCTGGCACACCATAGACCCACACTTTCCTTTCACCCTGAATCTTTTCCACCCCCTGGTTGAAGGGAAGCCCGAGGTAGATCATTTTTTTACAGATTCATATACCGGCATTGACAACGAAGCCCTTTGGGGTCATTCCTTTCATGGCTCTCCCTGTGTCTGAGCACACAGATTCCCTGGAGGGCTGCACCACGGAGCTCGGTCACGTCAGGGCCTCCCGTGTCAAGGCTTCTGACGCCTGGACATCCTCTGGGGAGGGTGTTAGCGCAGCCTGTGAGGAGCTCCACCAGCCCAGGGGACTGCTGAGTTCACACAGGAATACGTGAACAGCCCGATCCTTCCTTTCCTTTTTCCTTTCCTTTCTTTTTCTTTCCCTCCTTTCTTTCCCTCCCTCTTTTTTCTTTTTTCTTTCCTCTTTTCTTTCTTTCCTTTCTCTTTCTTTTCCTTCTTTCTCTTTCTTTTCTTTCTGTCCTTCTTTTCTTTTCTCCTCCCTCCCTCCCTGTCTTTCTTTCTTTCCTGTCTTCTCCTTGCTCCTCTCCCTTCTCCTTTTTTCTTCCCTCCCCACCTTCTCTCCTCTCCTCTTTCTGTCACTCTCTGTCGCACAGACTGGCGTGCAGTGGCGTGATCATGGCTCACCATTGCAACCTCAACCTCCTAGGCTCAAGCGATCCTCCTGCCTCACCCTCTTGAGTAGCTGGTCTTGAGTAGCTGGGACCACAGGCATGGACTACCATGCCTGACTAATTTTTGTGTTTTTTGTAGACCCCGGGTTGCCCCAGCTGGTCTGGAACTCCTGAGACTCAAGCGATCCGCCTACCTTGGCCTCCCAAAATGTTGAGATTACAGGCGTGAGCCACCATGCCCTTATTTCAAAGGGCTCTGTGTCACAAAACGCTTTCTAGCCAAGAGTACACACAACACACCAGGGGTAGGAAGGGAGTATCATTCTTTATTTCTTCTTAAAATACCTACATTACAGAGCTATGGTAAAAAGAGAACAATTTGTATGATGACGCTTATTAAGAGCTGAAACGTCATGTGCCACAGTAGTGAAACCATGTCATTTTCAAATACAAAGCAGTTCAAATTATACAGAGCAAAGGAGAGGAGAGGTCTAAGAATAAAGCATTTTGAACACATCTCAGAGGCTTTCCCACAGGTAGGTAAAAATAGAGAGTCACATGGATAAAAATTTGGGCCCCCCCCCCACCCACTTGTCAGGCACAGTGGCTCACGCCTGTAATCCCAGCACTTTGGGAGGCTGAGGTGGGTGGATCACAAGGTCAAGAGTTCGAGACCAGCCTGGCCAACATGGTGAAAACCCATCTCTCCTAAAAATACCAAAATTAGCTGAGTGTGGTAGTGTGTGCCTGTCATCCCAGCTGCTCGGGAGGCTGAAGCAGGAGAATCGCTTGAACCTGGGAGGCAGAGGTTGCAGTGAGGCAAGATCATGCCACTGCACTCCAGCCTGGGTGACAAGAGTGAAACTCCATCTTCAGGGAAAAAAAAATGTTTGTCCCCACTATCTCCCATAAACCCAGCCCCTGTGACGCCTGGCAGTGGGAAGTGGGGTGAGAATTTGCCTCTGAAGCTCTGAGGTCCGCTTCTGCTGTTCCCTGCAGGTCTGGCACCTTCCACGCTCTGTAGTTTCATTTCTTCTTCGTCGGGGGTCTCAGGAGTTGGAGCCGAGCGGAGACCCAGGCCCACCACTGTGACGACAGTGCACTCTGGAAGCAAGTGACTGGCCCTGGAGGTGGGGCCCGGGGGCAGGGCTGGGAAAGGGGAGCCCCAGGGTGGCCAGTGCCACGGGCCACTCCAGCGAGACCCCACCTTGCATGGTGCACTTCCTGCGTAGGACTGGAAGACCGAAGTTTTTTTATGGCCATATTTTATACTGCAATTCTGAAGTGTTCATTTCTCACAAACTGTACTGACTCGAGGGGCGCTGATTTCATAGGATCTGGTGCTGTATATACAAATCTTGCAAAGCTCGAACTGAACGGACCTTCTTCTTCCTCTCCCCCAACGCCGTCCTTCCCACTCTTCTCAGTGTAGGTGACCGTCTACGGTGTGTTTTTTCATTCATGACAAAAAACAAGGTTTCAACTGGATTATTTAAATATTGGTAAATATTGTGCATTAGGGTTTGTTTTTCCTTTTAAGAAGTATGTCCTTTGACTCTGTCGCTCAGTTATGTGACCTGTATCTCCTCCTCTTCAATAGTGGTTTTATGTTAACCTTTAAGAGATTTGTTTTTCCTCCAAGGAGAATTTAAAGGTATTTTTAAACATTCGAAGAAGAGGATCAAGAATCGGTCCGAGGCTAAGAGTGCGCTTGACTCATGTTCCTTCTCTCTCTCTCCTTTCCTTGGGGGGCGAGGCCCCTCAGTTCTGCAAAGCTGTCTTGTCTGCAGGGGGCTTTGGTGGGATTATGCACAAAGCCTTCGCTGGTAACCCATCCCACAGAACCCTCACCCACCAGAGACCCCAGAGGCCTCTTGCTATCAGCAGTCAGAAATAAAGAAGCCTGCTCCCTCCCCGGAGACCCAGGGCTCAGCTTCGCAGGCCAAACTTGCTGTGAGTGAGATGCCCACACTGCAGAGACGTAGGAGTGTCCCTTGCAGAAGGAGCCAGCTGCCATTTGGTTGAAAGTGGGCCCATACACAACCCTCATTTCTCACGAGAGGTAGCAGATAAAAGCTCAGCTATGCGGTTCTCAAATTCATCTCTTTCTCTGTAGTTTTTAAAAAATGCGTTTCTAATCTTACCCTTCACATGGCTTCCAACACAAAGTTCTTTCTCCACATTGTTACCCTCATCTCACATGAATGTTTTCCAAAGGAAGGAAGGGAGGGAAGCGGCCTTGGAAAAGGATCCATTCCTGGTAGTAAGGACAGGGGCCTGCCAGGCTAATAGGACTCGTCCCCACAGCGGTGGCCAGAGACCACGTCCGCCAGACCCAGCCAGTGTCTGAAGGCCTCCCACTGATCCGAGGAGCCTAAAATCAAAGATACACAGTGGTAGGGTCACCAAATGCCCCGCTTGCCCAAGACTGAAGGATTTCTCAGGCTGTGAACATTTCATGCTAAAACCAGGACCATCGGGGCAAACCAGGCGATGTTGTTCGCCCTTGTGGTGGGTAGGGTGCAGGAGAGAGCCAGGCAGTGTACAGCCCAGGGAAAGCTGCGTTTCAAGGAGGCTGTTCTGTAGAGCCAGGCAGATGGCTTCAAGTGCCGGTCCTGCCTAGTGTCCCCCGCTCAGCCTTCAGGCCAATCCAACGCCTTGAGCCCACCAGGGTGTCCCAGCAGGTCTGCCTCATTACAGCCCAGCGACGCTGCTGGCTGTGTCCTCACATCCTTCTCCTGTGGCTGGCCTGTGCTGGGAAGTCTTTGTCACTTGCACACCTTTGCCTATGTCCAGGCTGAGTGTTGAGTGATGCCCCCCTCCGTCCTCCCTACACACATGCGCACGCACGCAGGCACACACACACACACACACACACACACACACACACACACACGCAGTTATGAGGCATAGCAGCTCCATCTCGCTCCCTGAGAAGGCAGCACAGGCACAGATGAGAGCAGTTGGGAAGACAGGCAGCTGGTCTACCCTGTCTCCGCACGCATCACAGGTGTGCCACGGCTTGGCAGGAATTCTGCATGGCATCTGCCGCACATGCTCACAGAGTGAAAAATTAAACTGTCACTCTTCAAAATCTGTAAAAAGCCTGGAAAAGTCTGTAAGATGACAATAGACTAGTTCAGAGTCAGGTGTCGCCTGAGTTGGCCATGCAGTGAATGAATATTATAAGCGGTATTGGAGAAAACAGGTGTCTCTCCAGAGCTTCACCAGGCAATTGCTCACTAACAAGTGTCCTGGAAACATTCGAGTTCATACAGTGCAAGACAGAAAGTAAGAGAAGGCTGCAAGCACTGAAAATGCACCCGAATCCGGTACCTAGGATGAGTGTGTGAATAGTTACAAGTAGCCCTTTGTGCTATATACAACCATTTGCATTCAGAAAGCAGTATTGGAAGCAAGTTCCATTATTGGTGATTGAAGTATTTTCAGGAGCTGATACATGTGCTGCATGTTATAGGCACTTAGCTTGAAAGCATCCCTTACCCAAAAAGTGCAGAAGCCCTGAACAGTGTGGGCCGTGGTCCAGGTGCCCCCTCACTGCTCCGGTCAGTTCTTGGCCATGCTTGGCCCGTCACACCCAAGGTCTCAACAACATTGTGCGAGGAAACAGTGACTGGTTTCAGCCCAAGGGTTGACTGCTGAGCATGACATCAGGAAGCCTGTACTGTCCCGATGCCACCAGGCTGGGGTGAATATCCTATGGTTTTAGAAAGAGAAGAGCCTTTGTGCTTTTGAGAGTGTTCTCATGGTAAAAAGATAGAGGTTGTCTTTGCCCAGCACTGGGCGTGAATTGTTTTATAAAACAGGAAGAGAACCCGGAATGTGCCTTTTTGAAGGTCTGACCAATGGGGTCATAGAATCCCAGGACCCTCGCCAATGTCAGTTTCCACTCACGGCAGCTGAGGGCTTCGACGTGCACCTAGAGTGCTGGCCGAGGCTAAGGGTGGATGTCTGGACCCCATCGCAGGCTTCTTTCCTGAGCCCAGTTTCCTCATTCGGTCCCTGTCTCTTCTCAGAGCAAAGTAGATTCTGTTTTCCTTACTTGGAATAGTCAGTGTTGAAGTGGTGGCTTGGAGTGGCCTTTTGCCCAGGTTCCCTGGCTTCCAGGATCTTCATCTCATATGTGAGGCCGTAGGAGGAGTTTCCATTCATTGAGACACTCAGTGAGCGGGCACCAGCAGGCCAGCAGCTTGGCCCTCTTCGCAGAGATGGCTCTGGAGTCTGGGCAGCTCTCTTCCTCCTGCAGCTCGGCTTCCCAGGGGTCTCACGGGTCCGGAGCCTCAGCATGAAGTGGTTCAAAGGCAGTTAGAGAGCTGAGGGGCAGGGCACTCAGGGGAAGCACAACGGCTGCCAGAAGTCCTTGAGGAGAGACGGGGCCGCTGTGTTACAGAAACGGCAGCCTGGGCCCATGGATGGCTCTGGCACTGGGCAGTGGCTGGTTTTCACCTTTCCTCCTGCCCCCGCCTCCCCGTGGGAGACAAGAAAACATCATTCTCCCTCTTCAGGTCCCCTTTTGAAAGAAAGAAACTGTGGCACAGCGTGCCATACTAAATCAAAAAAAGGAAGAGTGGATTTGTGTTCTTCACCCTGGCCACAGTTCTGGTCACTTCCGGCATCTGACCTTGAGAACGGGGTGCAGCCTCGGAGCCACCACTGGCCTTGGGGAGGGTCCCACTCCCCAGCTAGCTCTTCGGGTACTGTCCAGGACCCCGGCAGTCAGGACAGAACAAAAGATGATGGCTCCGCTGGCCAAGGCTGGGCTCGTAGGAAACATCTGCAGTCGGATGAAAAGAACCTGGCCTGGGAGCCCCGGACTTGGCTTACCTACCCCATATCATGTCACCTCCTCATCTGTCTACCCTAGTGTTCAGCATGGCCTTGATGAATTGTGGGTGGCAGGGACACAAGCCAAGAATACCAGGCACACGGGGTCAGGGAGCCCCGGTGATCCTCTATGGCCAGTGGATTGATCCTCTCCCCTGTGACATGACAGCTAACGCAATTATCCCACTGGTTAATTTTCTGAGCATTTTTAAACAGAAAGGAAAGATGGCATCCCAGTGCAGGTAGACTTCATTTTTGAAAGCACCGTGGCCCCTTGCCTCTCCCTTGCCCCCAGAACCTTGGCCAGACTTGAGTCTTCGTTGGGGCGGCCACACTGGAACCATTGCTCAGGGGTCGTAGGTGGAGAAGTAGGGTCATGGGCTCGGCTTCAGCCAGCAGCACCCCCTGCTTTGCCGGATTTCACAAGCGCAAGACTGAGATTCCCTTGGATATGAGAAAGGAAGGCAAGGGCTGCTAAAGGGAAGCTCCTACCATTTTTCATAAACAGAAATAAGATGTCCTCTTTCCCAAGTTGGCACAATCACAGCTGGCAAATGAGTTGAAGGTCCTCAAATTCAGCCAGTGCACGACACCTTTGCATGTTCTTCTGAAACTGTGCTTCCTCCCCATTCTGTCTACCCGCACTCTGTGAAGTCTGCCTTTTCCTTAAACACATTCCAGACCAAACACTGTTCAGTTTGTTTCAAAAAAAAAAAAATGTATATACCTGTATGTGACCCACCACCCTTTGGAGGGGCACCTGGCCCTGGGCTGGGGCTGCAGGTGTGCCTGATGTTTGCAAAAGGTATTCCAGTCTTTCGATGTTCAGAATTGCAAATGTGGAGCTAGAAGAGCCGAAACAGACTCCTAAAAGGAGGGTTTCTTTCCCGAAGGCTCCAAGAAAATGAGTGTGCCGATGAGTTAGCTTGACAACCTCAACTTCGGGGAGCAGGCAGGCAGTCTGAGGAAGGTCAGGGCCCACGCCCCACTCACCCGGCACCTGCTTGGTGGTCCCAAGTGGTCCCAGGGCATCACGGTCTGCAGCCTGGGCACCCAGTCCCACTGTGAAGTCAGCCCTGCATGCTGGCCGAGGCCCGGCCACCTCCTGATGCCTCCAGAGTCAGTGGGAAGAAGTCAGCCCTTCCCGGACTTCCCCGCCACCTCCAGCAGGAGCAGCTCGGCTTGTGGCTCTGGGAGCCCTGCTTTTGCAAACCCAAAAAGGCTGTGCATTTGGAAGCCAAACGCTCAGCATGCGGCTGCCGAGTCTGGTTTTGTGGACAAAGCAAACTGTGGAATGGCTTCTCGGTGTCTATATAAAGGAGCACGCGATCGCATTCACCCTTTGTACTCACACCGTTTCTGCATTCGCCATATCCGTTTTTTAACCTTTTTGTCTCCAGGGAACTTCTTCATATGATTATTATGTCTTCTGATGATTTGCGATGTTATTTTACTTAAAGGTGATTTTATTTTCTTATGGACAGGAAAAAAGCAAATGAGAGGAGTTGGTTTTAGTCTTAGAGATCAGACTTCAGCCCAGGCTGGGAAACCCCAAACTCTAGTTCAGTTGCTTCTCGGAGGAAAATCTTGGGCTAGACAGATTGAGATCCCAGGCTCTCCTGGAAGCCTAGCACTTCGGGGCACAGGGGCCCTGGGGTGTGATTGGCAGCCAGGCTGCGAGGGAGCTAAAAAGGTACAAGAACGTCAGCCTGGATGTTCATCTCTCAGCCCTGACGCCTGCCAGTCTCCTTCCGGGGGCACTTGGCCCTGTCAGAGGGACATGAATTGCTGTCCAAATGGTGGCAGAAAGGCAGTGACATTGCAGCAGAGTCTTTGCTTTGAA